GTATAGCCTAGAAGGGTTTTGAAAGCTGCAGCTATTTTTTTTTTAAGTTAAATGAACAGAAATAAGGATGATATATAATAACAGAGCTGTGAATGGCAACTGGCGAATTGTTAAAAAAATAACCATAATGACGGCTGCTCTGAGTACTTTCAAAGTATGTACTGAATGTAATGAAGAATTTCTCAACTGTACTATGCAGGTATGTAGTATAAATCAAAGTCAATTTTAAGGCAAGTCAGTTCTCTTATTTTCCAGACTTTAAATCAGGACGCGTCCTGGGAAAATGGCACGTATGGTCACCCTATATATATGCATATTTTAAATAGCATTTTTGTTTGTCCATTTGCCACTTGCTTTTCTTGTTTTGTTAAATGATTTCTTTATCCTTTTGTGAATGAAGTGTCGCTGAAAACCTCAAGTGTTGCTAAACAAGTATAATTTAACGACACTCGACAACTTCTTTGGTCTCTAAAGCCATTACACTTGAAAAAGTTGCTGTTTTTTGAGCACCTTGTAAGTTGCTGAAAATGTGACTACTGTAGGTTAATTTTAGGATCGTCTTTGAGCTGAAGATCTTCAAAGCTTAGCTGATCAGAGACTTCCCACGGTTGGCTTCTGTTCTCTCGGCGGTAACTGTGGTGAAGGAGCTAGCACACACTTTCTGCTTTAGAGTGTGGGTGACTGATCAATTGGCGTCCTACACACACCCCTAGAGAGGAACGTTCTTGAAAATATGTTTGGTGACAAAACCTGACTGGTTTATTGCACTGCCAATTAAATTTTATTTAAATGACACCGTGTTGTAGATGGTAAAAATAAGAAAAGAAAGATTTGGAGGTGCATTTCTGGTTAAAACACTAAAGTTGCATAATTACAATGCTGATTCTATGAGACTTACTTAAAGTCAAAAGACAGACACAAATAAATAAGAGAAAAGAAAAAACAGACCTCAAAGAAGAAATAATGAAGACAGAAATGATGCAGAATCAAACAGAAAAGGTGCTTGTGGATGAAAAATATAGAAAAAAAAGTTCTGAATGATCAATAAATATGTCTCAGTTGGACTGTAGAGGGATAGAAGAAAATAATGAAAATAAATCCAGTTGTGTTTGATTTAAAGTCACTAAAGGCTTCAGTAAACAGTAGCACTGGAGAACAGATAAGCACTGTCATATCTCTAATCAATGTCTGAAGACTGTGACATTACAAGAAGCATCAATAAATACCGTCTCGGGGGACTTCAGTTTGGACACACACAAACACTCTGCTCACTTACACACTGTAATGCTACATGTAGAGGAAAGGCACACGAAGATGCAGGTCTACACAAGAGTTTAATAGAATCCAAGAAGATGATAATCCATGAAGGCAAAGGGAACACACAGCAAAATAACATCATCAACAATACTGGACCAGGAAGAACTGAAAGGGAGCAACTTAAATACACAGACCAAACGAAGATAATTAACTAACACAGGTGTACATAATTAACTAATCAAAATGAGAGACAGAAACTAGGTCAAACTCAAAATGGGCATGAAGACAAAAACTAAATGAAAACACAACAAAAGAAGTCCATAACTGTGACACACACAGATGGCCCTGTGGATTACAGAAGAGGTGCCATTAGATGATGGAATTGTGTTTTCTAAGCTTTCAAAATCATTGTAATGAATAGTAGAAATGCTGAATTAAAGAAGCATCAGATAAAAGCTTTGGTGACATGACTTGATGGAAGACAGAAAGAGAGAAGGTTAAAAATGACATAGCAGATGTTACTGAAATTTCAAACTGTAGTGTCTTGAGAGCTAAATGTTCAACAAAGTGCCCAAAATATGACTCCAGTAGGAATTCATGTGACATTTAAGTCTGAAGGCTGAAGTGATGACGTTCACTCTCGAGATCTTCAGAGGATTCTTACTCTCTTTTAAATGCATGGAATATTGAAAACAGAGCACAGGTGTCACTCTTTCTTTCTCTCACTCCCCCTCTAATCAGGTGTATCTTCTCTCTCTCTCTCTCATCTTTGGTCTGACATTAACTTTCAAAGGATCCAGTCTATAGTAGAATGAGTGGTATCAAATGTCACTGAGAGTGTTTGATGGACAATTCACCTCCCTTTAAATCATTGTTGCACCTGTTTTAAAGAGACAGGACACAGAAACCTTTCCTTTACAATTCTGTCATTGTTTACTCACCCTCATATCATTCCAAACCAAAATGCTGTTATTTTCCCTTGAAACAAAAGCAGAGAAATCAGAAAACTCCTTTTCTACACACCAACAGTTTATAATGACCACTTCTTTTGGCCAAAATAGACAAAACAGCACAATAAAATTATAGACTTGTGCACTATTTTATACGTTTTCTGAAGTCATACGATAACTTTTTTTTTTTTAACTCATTTAAATTCTCACTGAAAATGACATTTGTAACATGACACATGAAAACCAGCAATGAATTTGACGATGTCACTGATGTCCAGTGTGATGTGATGCATCAAAAGCTACAGCAGATGGCATGTTTCTCATCAGGTCACCAGTGAGGCCTTTTTTGCAAGAACAAATGCTGTTTTAAAAAGTCACTGCAGATGACATAAAATGTTGAATGTTTCAGAGATTTCTCTGAGGTTTGTTTACTGCAAAAATAGCATCTGCAGTTAGCAGCAAATAATCTTCCGTATTCACTGATTCATTCCTGCTAGATCATTTACTTGGACTTGTGTAATTGAACCCACCATAATGAACATCTGCCAAGCTCTACAGCCAACTCCCAAGATAAATCAGGAGACATGCCAGTGTTTTAAAAGGATAAATAAACAATGTCATATTGTAATCTATCTACTTTCACCTCAAATCACAACTCCAGAGCGCAAACAGACAACCTACCACTGATATGACCGTGGGATATCAAGTGAGTCATGAAATTATGTTTCAGTGTAATGCAGTGGCGAAGCAACAGGTGGGCCCATGTGGGCATGGGTCCACCCACTTTCAACTGTGGCCTACCCAATGAGAAGTTGGTAATTTTCCAAATGGATGTCATTTACTAAATGTTAATAATAACAATAATAATGTCTTATTTCACTATAACTTCATATATTTAGTTTAAAAAAATATTAAACACGAGTTTTCATGGTCAATTACAAGTCTTTTCTTAACTTTCCCTCTTCCTATAGGTGCATACAATACGCTTGTCAAAATGATAATTTGTCAGTTTTTGTTAGTCTAACCCACTATGTTATGTTTACAATGTAAGGACATAATAGTAATATGCGCATGTTTGTGGAGTTGAATTTGAAAATAGTGAAACAAATATCAATCAGTCAGTATATATTGGATGTCCCAATTGAAACTAAGTCTTAGCAATGAATCCGAACCATCTACAAATGAAACCAGACCACCTGCGGGTGATTTATATATCGGAAACTTCTGAGCTACACGTGTTTGAAGCATCATATTAGCATAGATAGTGTTTGAACAGATGCATCCTTTGTGGGAAGAAACACACAAACATTGTGCTAGATACTGTTCTCCACAACAAATTGCATATTTGAAGCTTTGCACATTTCTACAGTCCTCAAAGTTTATTCTCCTTTGAACGCGAACTGACAGAGACACTTGCTTATGAGATCCTCTGCAAAGCCCCATTGTCTCAGACTGAGGTAATGCTTTACAATAAACTTCCTTTAGTTAACATTAACTAGCATTAACAATGAACAATACATTTGTTACAACATTTATTAATCTTTGTTAACGTTAGTTAATAAAAACAACTGTTCATTTTTATTTGTGTTAGCTACGGTATGAATGTTAACAGATATACAGTAACTTTTAATAATGTATTAGTAAATTAATAAATAAACATTAATGTTAATCAATGCTTTCTAGTGGTCTCTAGTGGTTAAACATGAGATATAATTAGTTTTGGGGAAATATAACGGGCAGTCTTTGGTCTCATTAATCTATTATTTGTTCCGAGCAAATAGTTTTGGCTGAGGGCAAAATCTCATTTTCAATTTTCAACTTTAATGCTGTATAACAGAGCGCTGCCTTTGTTCTTTTGACTGAATTGCCTAGCAACTTTTATGATAGCTGCAGTTGTTGTTTATTAAATATTATTCAATAAATAGCATTTTATATAAATAATAGTAGTATTTAATAATAGTATTTAGTAGGCCTATTGACTTACACTTACACTGTTTTTACGAGTGAGTCGGCAGTAAAGACTTTTATATCATTTGACTGTACCCACATACATGGATATAAAAAATGATGTGTGGAAAAGAAACTGTTGGCATTCTTAGTGAGTTTGATTCATTCATTGAAGGTTCGTGCTGTCATAAACAACTCCTGTTTCATATGTTGTTTCCTGTCATTCCAGTTCCACTCCTCGAGTGTGTTTTTCATGACAAAATGTGGTTTGGAACATTTAGAACATAAAGTCTAATTAATTAATTAACTGACTGATTGACTGATTGTGGCAAGGCCTGTGAAAATTTTGCAGGGCAAGTAAAAAAATGTAAACCACTGGCCCAACCGGGCCAGTAGAAAATGTCCTTAGCGTTAAGCCCTGTCAACACTATCAAAATCATTATCATAACACTTGTACTGTACATAGATCTGTAGAACAAGTAGGTTACAGAATTAAATTTTACAAATTTAAATAAAAATAAAATAAAATAAAACTGTAAAAAAAACAGGATGACTTTGAATAGCATTATTGTATAGTTGTGTTAGGATGAGCTGAGCAAGTCTTGCATATGTATTTTCTGGTTTGAGAGTGACGTCCTATTTAAAGAGGAAGTAATGTATACCAGAAAAAAAAGACATGCATGCATATGAGTGAATTATATACATATGTGAAAGTGACAATATATGTATGAGTTAGAATGTAGGTATGTAAGAATAAAGAATACATATGTGTGGAAGTGTAAATATATGTGCGTGAAAGTCAGAATACATGTATGTGCTGAAAAGTAAAAGTGTATATATATGTAGGCAGAAACATATGTATGTGAAACAAGAATATATGTGTGTGAGAGTAGAAATATATGTACAGTGGGTACGGAAAGTATTCAGACCCCCTTAAATTTTTCACTCTTTGTTATATTGCAGGAGAATGTAAGGTGTGAGAGTAGAAATATATGTAAGTGAAAGGAGAATGTAAGTGTGTGAGAGCGCCAGAATGAATTGGCGCTCTCATGAATGGCTTGCATGGCCCCGCATTTCAGACAGCGTGCGAACACAGAATTGATTCTTCTTTCTGGTATGCTTGCTCTTGAACGGATACATGCACAGAAAATGATCTCAAAATGCTCATTTCAGCAAGTATTCTCGTAAACACAGTCGGTTAAGTGAACGTAAACAGTGCAGAAAGACATCACATGTGAATCATTGTATTGGATCCATGCATTCAATCTTAAAAGGACAGAGCCTATAAATACCTGCTGCTGTTGGTGTCCTTAATGTTAATCAAACAACAAAACACAAATTTAACAACGATTAATCTATTTTTAATTTAAACAGTAAACACTATGCAATGTTATTTTACACGTAATTATTACATTTCTGTGCCTGAAAACTAATGTTAGATAGTTTATTTGTAAATTTGGCTATACTTGTAAGTTGTTTGTTATTTTATTACTGATAGTTCACTTGTCTTTAAAAATGTTTGACCTTTATTAGTTATGTTACTAGTTTTTGCTGTGGTATCGAAGGAGTACTTAAAGTGTTCTTTAAATAATAAGCACCCTCTTTTTTTTGCTCATCCGAAAAGTGATTCGATCTGTGACTCAAAATCCAGATCATGATCCGAACTGTGAATTTTGGGATCCGTTGCACCCTTACTCTGTTGACTTGCTATTTGAAGAAAAAATAAAATCACTGAAGTTTTCGATCATGCTGATTTGTCCACAGTGAACTTCAGCCGATGTCTTTTTTATTTGAGCTAATTAAATTCATTTTGGGCTACCAAAATCTGAAGAATGCCTGCCCTAAGGGCTACCAGGGATTTTGAAATTGTGCGAGCCCTGCGGAGGGTTGTGCTCAGCTGTTAAACTGTCAACCTGAGATTTGAATCCGTGGCGGATGGAAGTAGTTTACACAAAAGAGGGTTTTTAAAGACACTCTGTTGTTTCTTATGTAGTTACACACATGTGACGTCGAACTGTTGTATAAACACAATATCACACTTGTAGCAGTGCAATATGGCTGTATATTGGCACGCTGTGATTACCTATGGCCGAATCACATACAGCCATATCACACTGCTATAAGTGTAATATTGCTCATATATATATATATATATATATATATATATATATATATA